CAGGTTCTGCAGAATTTGGGTCGCTCATCATAAACTGAAAGGGAACCAGCTTCACAACCTGAGACTTATTGTCCAATTCATCGTGAGTGTCTACTTGCAAAATTGGTTCAACACCAAGGTCAAGTCATCGTTCTCCGAAGGTCCGAGGCATGTTCTCTTCCAGCTTGAGCTCCTGAGGAGTCAGCCAAGGAAGGTTGTTCAGATTAGGAGCAGACTGTGAGGAGATCTTCCTGGCATGCTCATCCCGAGGCAGTTCTGCAGACAATGCTCTGCAGTAAGGATGAGGAGGAGAGAAGAGTGGCAGTCAAAAAGATCTTGGATATGAGACTTATGAGAGGATCTGGGCATGACGAATCAGTTGGTGACGATTTCTTCAGGGTCAGGAAGACTCCTGAAGTCAATCTAGGTGCCAAGACCCTCACTGATCTCATAGATCTGGATAACATCCAGGCTGGCAGTGAGCCCTGCAGCCTCACCAATGTTCAAGTCAGAGCTTTCCTGGACAACCCCATGCATGTACCTGCCTGGCCCTCGCACACCCAGATTATAGAGCGTTGTGTACAGCAAATGAGCGAGGCCAGCAGTCACGTGTACAGCCAGGAGAGGAGGGAAGGCTACATCCGAGCTCAGGTGGTCAGCAGGGAGGTGATGAGTAGAAACTGAATCAAGAAAGACATGTTCTCTATGGTGTGCAGCAACACCGAGTCGTAGTAGTAAAACCGATTTTTGTATTTGATGATTTTGTTTTCTAAAGGAATATTAAATTTAATAAATGTGTCAAGATCATTCGCTTCACTATTCTGGATCATTTTCATCCTAATAAATTAACCTGACATATTTATTTTACTTTTAAATAAGCTATTTAGTGGTGTTGGTAAAAGGGTGGGAATACTGAATTTTCTTAAGATTTCAAGTTAAAATTTACCTAGCAAAAAATGAAAACTTTTCAAATCTGAAGATATCACATGATTCTGCACATAGAACTACATCATTATACCATGGGCCGATTTTTCAAACTAAAAAAAAAAAAATTCGCCTCCGTATGACACACCCCAATAGGGTAATGTATAATTAGCAGCACCATATAAATTAACCAATACTAATACAAAGGTCTGATGATCTGAGGGGCCAAACAAATATAAAAAAACGATAAGATGAAGCGATCTGGTTGAGCCCAGATTCTACTACTGTATTCCAGTTTCACCACTTTTCTTCAATCCCTAATAATCTTCTTTCACCTCATAGCTCATGACTCCAAAGCCAATGCCTCACATTCTACTGACGCTTCCTCCTCGCCTCTCTCAGGCATGTTTCTCACACCAGCCACGTTAAGTCAGTGTTAACTCAGTTGAATTTTGTGAATACAGTACTGTACAGTGAAATTCTCACATGTTTGCACAGTAGGCGTTAGGCGCGCGGGTCGGGTCGTGTTGCGTCTCTGTAACAAAGCGTGCTCGGCATTTGGGCCTTCATTGTTGAGTGGCATAAGTTGGACAGTGATTACATGAGAACATCAAGATCATCTTGGTGATATGAAAGCGTAAATCGATGTAGGTTTTTAACCTCCACCAAGTTGGAGGTACAGCCCAGGTCAAGAAGCCTACAACCACAAAATCATGGCCATCAAAACTTTTATTTTATTTATTTTTATGGAGTTGTGATTACGGCTGTGATAAAGGACAACCAGGGAGTGAAGAACTGTACTTGTACTGTGCCTATAGTTAAATCAGTTCATAGTGTCATCAGTGAATGAGGAGGTTTTAAATAACTTCAAGTGAATACAAATTGACAAGCAAGCTGGTAAGGCACCACTGCCAGCAGAAACCAATTCGTGTTATAGGTGCCACAGAGACTTAATTTTATTTTGTTTGTGCTTTCTCAAGGACTGAAACTGTGCCTACAATACACCATTCACAGGGAGATACAGTGATAGCACAAAGAGATATAGTCGTTTATGAGAACTGGAAAAGAAGGTATAAGGTAAATAATAGTTAAATTAAAAAAAATAAAATAAAAAATCAACAAGCTTGGCTATCCTAAAAAGCATTCTATTACCGCCCCAAAGAAAGTTTTTTCTTTTTCTGTATTTGTAAAGGACTGCGGGTGTATAAAATCTGTTATTCATAGCAAAATGCAGTGTACATAGAGATAGCACATAAATACCAACAAATTGCCGAAGTGAAGTGAAAAAAAAGCAGAAGAAAAACAGAAGACAACTCTAAAGACAACAGGGGAGGTTAAAGCCAGCACAGGGCAGCTAAGTACTGTTCTTTTTTCTTTATTTTAAATAGGTGTAGATTTATACACAGTCTGCACCCCACCAAAACAACAACAACCATGAAGAGTATGATATTGTCATGATCGTGATGACAGCTAACCTGAAAACCTTAAGGATTCATATTACGCTCAAACGTCCACAAAACCTTCTGAGTCCCCCAGTGGAAACGTCCCCCGTTTTCTGTTTCCTTGATGACGTCATCGAGAGGCCGTCTTTGTCTAAAGGGAACTTTGAATATAATCCGCGGATTTCGTAGCAAGACGCTGTATGTTGGGACATGTTGCCATCCAATCCTTTGTAATCAATTTAATTTTGCTTTTGAAAGCTCAGTCAGAGCATTGTTAGTGAAGATAATAGTAGGGAATGAAACTGCATCCAAGGTCACCACTCCTCCCAACTCGCTCCCTCCTCCCCGTCACTACTGCCGACAACGAACACAAATGTTTTGTGAATAACTGCACCTCCACTTCCTATGTACAGTACTGAACTGTACTGTGCTGTGCATTTTTACAAACAATAAACATGGCAAGAAAAGCTATTAAAAAAAAAAAAGGAAAAAATTTCACTTTACTGTACAGTACCTATCCTTGGCGACAGGACGGGGGTCATCGGGCTCATCGTCACTCAATTCCATAACGGGTGGTGAAGTGGGGGCGACGGTGGATTCAGCTGCTTCCTCACTGCCGCCAGTGATTGATGGTGTTAAATCTCTCCTTCGGTGATCAAAGAACATGGTGATGGGGAGTTGTCGTCTCTTTCTTTCATTTTTTCCATGATGTTTTTGTATGGAGCGAAAACGTCATCCATCCCTCGCATGAATTTCAGGCCACGCACCATGGAGGGGTCCATACTATAGGCCAGGTTTTTCAGTGCCTCAATATTCCTGGTCATCTCCCCCAACTTCTCCAACGTTATTTCTTGGTGCTCTTCCTCATCCTCTTTCCCTTTCGCTTCCTCTTCCTTGCCTGAGTCTACTAACTCCTGTAGATCCTCCTCGGTCAGCTCAGTGTCGTGCTCTTCAATTAGCTCCCTAATCTCGTCCTCTGCCATGTCCCGGAAGCCTTCAGCAGCCACTTTCCTTGACAGTGCCAGGGTCTTTCTGAATATTTTCATTAAAATCCATCAAAATCATTTTCCTTGTCATCGTCTTAAGCACCAAACAGCTCCTCCCAGTCTTCTCCTTGAACAGGGCTAGAGGGTACGTGTTTTTCGAATCGTTTTCAATTAAAAAAATGTTACAGCACATGTATATTTTACCTAAACTGTGCCTGAATGAATATATTCTCAGAAATAAATAGTAGTTTTGCTGAAACGTGATGTATTTCAATGTAAAATAGGATAAAATACATGACGAAAACAAAAGACTTTACCTAACCTTCCAATGTTCAAGAGATGTTACTCGTTTTTTTAATAGTTTTCGGTTAAAATACTGTTATATTACAATGATATTATATTCATACTGTGCTTGATATACTACATTCACGGAAATGTAATATTTTTGTTGAAATGACGTACGTATTACAGTGGAAAGTGATGAAAACAATGACTTTCGCTTTCTTTCGTTCAAAAGATGTTACTGTAATCGCTTTTTGAATGGTTTTCAGTTAAAAAAACTGTTGCATCACAAGTGAATTAGGATAGAATATTATTGTAATACAACAGTTTTTTAACTGAAAACCATTCGAAAAGCGATTACGGTAACATCTTTTGAACGAAAGAAAGCGAGTCATTGTTTTCGTCACTTTCCACTGTAATACTTACGTCATTTCAGCAAAATATTACATTTCCATATTCTCAGAAATAAATAGTAGTTTTGCTGAAAAATAATGCATTTCAATGTAAATTAGGATAAACTACATGAAAACAAAAGACTTTACCTAGCCTTCCGATGTTCAAGATATGTTACTCGTTTTTTTAGTAGTTTTCGGTTAAAATACTCTTATATTAGTGATATTCTATTCATACTGTGCTTGATATAATATTCACAGAAATGTAATATTTTTGCAATTACAATGCTGATGTCAACACAAGCGTGGTTACAGCGAGACTGACTGAGTGAGGGAGAGCTATGGGTGTGTGTGTGTGAGGTTGCGGGAGCGGGCGGTGTCCCGTGTTCGGTGCCGCGCGCGAGTTGAATGTACTTCAATTACTTCCTTGTATAGAATATTCCTCAGGCGGGGCAGTCCGCGTACTTGCAAATCCGTGTATTATAAACCCGCGTATGTTAAGGGCCGACTGTATAAACATTATAGAGTTTGCACAAAAGATAAAATTTTTAGTCCTTTTGTGTGGTAGTACATTTAAGTACAGGTTTTTCAACTCGAATTTCTGGGTAGATAAACGTTATTTTCTAAATTTATTTTTACTAATTTACATGCACACACCATCCTAAATACATATTGTGAAAAAAGTAAAAGAAATAATTGTCCTAAGGACAAACCTGTACTCAAATGTTGTGTTGTCAAAGTAATAGAAACAATTGAGACCCTGCTATTGTGTGTAAATGAGGCACAAAGTCAGATCAGCAACCTGGGACTTGGTCACATTTTTTTGTGATGCCATATAGCAGCAGGGTCTACCATTAGACAACATATTATGCTTCCAATATCTTCCCCGGTGGTAGTACCTCCCTGTTTGATAGCTGCCTACTACCTACCACCTGTAATGGTAATCATTAATCACTCATGTGTCCAAGGTTTGATACTTAATATAATCAACAGTATAAAAGTTAGCATACAAAATTTATTTCTTCAACTTCACATGAGATCTATAATTACAGTAGTAATATAGTAAATCTTTTATACAATAATCATTCCCAACACCACATAAGCTACAGTACAACAGTGAATTTTTACCTACAGAGGACCTTTTCAATTAGTTCATTACAGTTACTGTTATTCTCAATATCTACAATAATGATTTTCAAAGTTGACTTCACAGATTGCTCTGAATATGGAAGACAATTCCAATCAGACCACCTTAAAATGCATTGTTCACTATTCAGTTTAAAAGATAATATACAAAATTTATTTCTTCAACTACACATGAGATCTATAATTACAGTAGTAATATAGTAAATCTTTTATACAATAATCATTCCCAACACCACATAAGCTACAGTACAACAGTGAATTTTTACCTACAGAGGACCTTTTCAATTAGTTCATTACAGTTACTGTTATTCTCAATATCTACAATAATGATTTTCAAAGTTGACTTCACAGATTGCTCTGAATATGGAAGACAATTCCAATCAGACCACCTTAAAATGCATTGTTCACTATTCAGTTTAAAAGATAATATACAAAATTTATTTCTTCAACTACACATGAGATCTATAATTACAGTAGTAATATAGTAATTCTTTTATACAATAATCATTCCCAACACCACATAAGCTACAGTACAACAGTGAATTTTTACCTACAGAGGACCTTTTCAATTAGTTCATTACAGTTACTGTTATTCTCAATATCTACAATAATGATTTTCAAAGTTGACTTCACAGATTGCTCTGAATATGGAAGACAATTCCAATCAGACCCAAATGCATTGTTCACTATTCAGTTTAAAAGATAATATACAAAATTTATTTCTTCAACTACACGAGATCTATAATTACAGTAGTAATATAGTAATTCTTTTATAATAATCATTCCCCACATAAGCTACAGTACAACAGTGAATTTTACCTACAGAGACCTTTTCAATTAGTTCATTACAGTTACTGTTATTCTCAATATCTACAATAATGATTTTCAAAGTTGACTTCACAGATTGCTCTGAATATGACAATTCCAATCAGACCACCTTAAAATGCATTGTTCACTATTCAGTTTAAAAGATAATATCAAATTTATTTCTTCAACTACACATGAGATCTATAATTACAGTAGTAATATAGTAAATCTTTATACAATAATCATTCCCAACACCACATAAGCTACAGTACAACAGTGTTTTACCTACAGAGGACCTTTCAATTAGTTCATACAGTTACTGTTATTCTCAATATCTACAATAATGATTTTCAAAGTTGACTTCACAGATTGCTCTGAATATGGAAGACAATTCCAATCAGACCACCTTAAAATGCATTGTTCACTATTCAGTTTAAAAGATAATATACAAAATTTATTTCTTCAACTACACATGAGATCTATAATTACAGTAGTAATATAGTAATTCTTTTATACAATAATCATTCCCAACACCACATAAGCTACAGTACAGTCAGCCAAAAAAGTCGTGTCTGAGTTCCGAACCCCGTAAATATTCGAGCAGGTGGTTAGGAAGCAGCAGGGATAGTTTGGGAAGGTTGGTAACTGTGAGTTGGGGTATGGGTTGACAAGGACCATACTGTGTGGGAGGTTAGTAGTGGGGGTGGAGGTAGGGTAGTGGAGGATGTGAATGCTGTAGTTATTGTTAATAATGTAGTATAGTATTTTATCGCAATGTAAAGGAATTAATGTGATATTACACATGATGTAACATCTGTAATATATATTGAAATGTATCGTCAACATAACAATCCTTATAACATGTAGAAGCGTCAGCAATGACCAACCTACTTCTCGCCCCTGCACAGTCCTACACACTCCCTCCCCGGTAGCAGGAGTGGAGAACTTATCACGTAATTAACCCTCCCTCCCGGGTAGCAAGAGTGGAGAACTTATCACGTAATTAACATCGGAATGAAAGACAAGCTGTGTTTTTACTGTATGTTTACTCCCTAACAAAACAGGATATACAGACCATGTCTGGTATTACATGGAGGCATCTGTATTATATATATATATTGGTATACTGTTTTAATAACCAGAAGCGGTTATACTGCTTGTTACCAGTAATATGTTGGTAATGTGAGGTGGGTGTGGGAAGGTGGATATATATATCACCCACAGGTATGAGCTGAGGCATTGTGACGCCTCTACAAACTCAGAGCACGTCGACATATGGACAGCGAAAGGCAATATGACTCACCTACCGTAAATATCGTATATGTTTGCTGATATTTTGAGTGATGTTCCGTGCAAAATGTTAATTAACCTTTTACTGAATGTGATATGTTATAAATTAATACACACACACACATATATATTTACCTACTTGTGGTTATATCATTCTGTAATGTTGAGTCACTCTTGTACCTCAAGACCAAACATTATACTTAATTACTGTTGACATATATATATATATATATATATATATATATATATATATATATATATATATATATATATATATATGTGTGTGTGTGTGTGTGTGTGTGTATTAATTCTATAACATATCACATTCAGTAAAAAGGTTAATTAACATTTTGCACGGAACATCACTCAAAATATCAGCAAACATATACGATATTTTACGGTAGTTGTGAGTCATATCTTGCCTTTCGCTGTCCATATGTCGACGTGCCTCTGAGTTTGTAGAGTGCGTTCGTCAATGCCTCAGCTCATACCTGTGGGTGATATATATATCCACCTTCCCACACCCCACCTCACATTACCAACATATTACTGGTAACAAGCAGTATAACCGCTTCCTGGTTATTAAAACAGTATACCAATATATATATATAATACAGATGCCTCCATGTAATACCAGACATGGTCTGTATATCCTGTTTTGTTAGGGGAGTAAACATACAGTAAAAACACAGCGCTCTGTCTTTCATTCCGATGTTAATTACGTGATAAGTTCTCCACTCCTTGCTACCCGGGGGAGGGAGTGTGGTGGACGGTGGGCAGGGGGCGGGTAGGGACAGTGGGCAGGGGTAGGGACGGTGGGCGGGGTAGGACGGTGGGCAGGGGGGGGAGTGGGCAGGGGCGGGGTAGGACGGGGGCAGGGGCGGGTAGGACGGTGGGCAGGGGCGGGTAGGACGGGGCGGGGTAGGATGGGGGGCAGGGGGTGGGGTAGGACGCTGGGCAGGGGGCGTAGGACGGTGGGCAGGGGCGGGGTAGAGTGGGCAGGGCGGGTAGGACGGGGCAGGGGCGGGGTAGGGACGGTGGGCAGGGGGCGGGGTAGGACGGTGGGCAGGGGCGGGTAGGACGGTGGGCAGGGTAGGACGGTGGGCAGGGTAGGACGGTGGCAGGGGCGGGTAGACGGTGGGCAGGGGGCGGTAGGACGGTGGGCAGGGGCGGGTAGGACGGTGGCAGGGGGCGGGTAGGACGGTGGGCAGGGGGCGGGTAGGACGGGGTGGGGAAGCGGGTGAGGACGGTGGGGGGCGGGTAGGACGGTGGGCAGGGGGCATGGGTAGGGACGGTGGGCAGGGGGGCGGGGTAGGACGGTGGCAGGGGCGGGCAGGACGGTGGGCAGGGGGCGGGAGACTGTGGGCAGGGGCGGGCAGGACGTGGGCAGGGGGCGGGAGGACGGGCAGGGGCGGGTAGGACGGTGGGCAGGGGCGGGTAGGACGGGCAGGGGGGCGGGTAGGACGGTGGGCAGGGGCGGGTGGGACGGTGGGCAGGGGGCGGGAGGACGGTAGGGCGGCAGGGACGGTGGGAGGGGGGCGGGTGAGGACCTGTGGGCAGGGGCGGGTAGGACGGTGCAGGGGCGGGTAGGACGGTGGGCAGGGGCGGGCAGGACTGTGGGCAGGGGTAGGACGGTGGGCAGGGGGCAGGGCAGAGGACCGGGGAGCAGGGGCTGGGCAGGACGGGCAGGGGCAGGAGAGGTGGGCAGGGGCGGGTAGGACGTGGGCAGGGGGCGGGCAGGACGGTGGGCAGGAGGCGGGGTAGAGACGGTGGGCAGAGTAGGTGGGACGTTAGACGGGGACAGGTGGGAAGGTGGGCAGGGAGACTGGGAGTGGGAAGGTGGGCAGGGGCAGGGTAGGAAGGTGGGCTGGGGCAGGGGGTAGGATGGTGGGCAGGGGGGCAGGGGTGGGATGGTGGGCAGGGGGGCAGGGGGGTGGGATGGTGGGCAGGGGTGGGATGGTGGGCAGGGGACAGGGGTGGGATGGTGGGCAGGGGGGCAGGGGTGGGATGGTGGGCTCAGGGAGGTGGGGCCCGATTGGGCAGGGGGGCGGGGAGGTAGAGACGGTGGGCAGGGGGGCGGGGTAGCACGTTGTCATTGCTGACGCTTCTTACATGTTATAGGATTGTTTTATGTTGACGATACATTTCAATATATATTACAGATGTTACATCATGTGTAATATCACAATTGGCACCTTTACATTGCGATAAAATACTATACTACATTATTAACAATAACTACAGCATTCACATCCTCCACTACCCTACCTCCACCCCCACTACTAACCTCCCACACAGTATGGTCCTTGTCAACCCATACCCCAACTCACAGTTACCAACCTTCCCAAACTATCCCTGCTGCTTCGACCTACCTGCTCGAATATTTACGGGGTTCGGAACTCACACGACTTTTTAGACTGACTGTACGACTGTGAATTTTTACCTAAAGCGGACCTTTTCAATTAGTTCATTACAGTTACTGATATTCACAATATCTAAAATGATGGATTTTCTAAGTTGACTTCACAGATTGCTCTGAGTATGGAAGACAATTCCAATCGGACCACCTTAAAATGCATTGTTCACTGTTCACAGATGGCCCTAGGAAGTAAACCCAAAAATTATTCCATCCAGGCCTACTACATGCACTCACACACAGTCTTGGGTATAGGATGTAGAACTTTCCACAAAACTGTCTACAGCAAGTTGTGTTCACTTCTCATATAAATAAAATAAAATTTATATTTACATAGCATCACAAGCAGGAACACTCAATAACAGTTGTGGACCAATTGGTCAGTTCAGTGTTGCTCACAGACTGTGGAAATGTAGGATGATAACTAAAGTACCATTCATTAAAAATTTATAGCATACTCTACTGAACAAATGTTTCTCGACATAGTATAATCCCCTTAAACTCAGTTAATATTAATGATCGGTAAAAGAGGATACTAGGTATTAGGGAGTCCCATATAACCTTAAACATAGTAAATAGTGGTGATGTAAATGGATTTTTACACAGAATAAAAAAGTTTTTCCGGAAAAAAATAATTAAAGTTTTTTTCTGAATAGAATTGAAAAGTTCTGTATCTGTCATTCTCTCTCTTGAAATTGTGTAATTACTTATATAATTGGATTCTGTTATTCTTTTCCTGAAATTGTTTGTCTTTAATAATAATGATAGATTATTTTAGACAAAAAATATATTTTGAATCTATTAAAATACTTTAATGAAAAGTATAGTAAATATATCTGAAAATAATGCTAATGATTGTACAACACCATTGCAAAATACAGTACTTTTCAGTCCTACTTTTGACAATAGTTATTGTGAATTAATGAAAATAAATGAGTAAATCATTTAAGAACACTATAATGATATACAGTATCTTACTGGAAGCAACTCAAAATGTAAATTTACGAGACTACAGAAATGACGGAAAATTCATAAAAAAATAATAAATAGAAAATTCCGCCCAACATAAAACACCCCCCCCCCCCTTTTTCACACCTTTAGTAAGTAAGCTTGTATAATTAAGTGCACAGAATCAGAGTTTGACATAATGAACCAAGAACATCTCTAACTAATGAATCCTAAGACAAAGACACAATGGTAGGAACACAATATGTATGGCTGCAGTAGTAAGCAGGCACATTCTGTAGGAGTGACTCAGTGAGCCCTCTCCTTGCCTTGTCTATGGGTGCTGGCACAGGGCACTAATTGGTAAGCCAAGAACTAAGTTCAAAGATTGGCCCAGCTTACATTTGACTGGTTAATACAAATGATTCGAAGAAGTGAGCCATTCAAAGCAATAAAACACAAAAGTAAAGAGCACACAAAATATATAAATCATAATATGCAAAATTAGTATGAGTATCTATGTATGGGCATAAATATCTAAAGTAGCAAATTTGGCAAGAATACAGATTGGTCATGGGGCACTGCTTGTCGTAACATTCTTAGGTAGCCCTCCAAATAACATCTAATTTGTACCCATGTTGAAAACAGTGTGTTTCGAAGCATCCAATAAACACCACTTATATAGGCCACCAAAATTACCTCTTTACATAGATACAATTCTGCATTGACACATTCGAACGTTTTTTCTACACGTTTGAACATTTGTTTTCCTACTTTAAGAACAGTTTTAGCAACAATTTCACCATTTACAGGCCCTCTTGGAACAAGCACAACATTCCACAATGGAATAAGCCTTGCCCCAGCCATTACACCAGTACGCCAGACATTTTTTACAATGCCTGTATGTGTGGTGTATGCCGGATTAAGCACTTCCAAAGTTAGACGTGCTGCGCTTACTTGTCTCAGGCGAGTTTCAACAAATTTATCAGGTTCATCACGACAGTTTAATGTTAAAGTGTACCTTGGATATCTATTTGCCAAGCTACAGACATTTACAAATAACTGTCTTGAGTGTAAACATACAACCACTCCATTAAAAACGGTGCGCTGTTTATATCTTTCAAGCACATTGTGAGATGTTTTTGCCTCATTAATAATGCAATTAAATTCTGGTATACCAGACTGAATTCTACCCAAGAATTTTTCTGCCTCTTTATGAAGGACAGAAACAAATAGGATATCATCTGCCTTCTTTACTAACATACTGGTTTCATTGCTGTAATCATCAAAATATGTCTCCAACATTGTGCTATAATACAAATCACTGAGATGAAAAGATAACTTGCCACCTTGAGCTAACCCACAAATTAATGAAAAATAATTTTTTCCTTCTCTAAAGAATTGGTTCATTACATAATCTTTTATCTTATAAAAAATCCTTCGAGGATTAATGATTAATTGTCTATTTAATAGACTGAAACCCTTTCTCCTCATAAGTTCTTCTTCGTTTTCTCTCTTATTTTCTAAGGGTATATATTTTTTCCTAACATTTCTCCCCATCTCGCACATGTATTGTTCAAACTGAAGAGTTTGTGGTAATTCTTCTATTTGTTCCCACAACAACTCCAATAGTTTTTCATGGGATATGGAATCAAATGCCCCTTTTATGTCTGTACGGACATAATATAGAGGGCTGGAGACTGAAATTTCTTCCAGTTTTGTTACATAGCTTTGCCATGCATCTGCAAATGATAAGGAAAAGGTATTATATTTCCTTTTCCTTATCAAATGCTCAACCAACAATCGAGAGCGAGTTAACTCTTCATTACTTAGACATCCATTCCCTATTGCAATCAGAGGTCTTACACCTTTTCCTTTTGGTATAAACCTGATCAATGGTGTTTTAGGAAAACAGTAACGGCTCTCTCTAGGTTCAATTTTTACATTTTTTTTTGACAGACTACCCATTGCAACTGTTTTCTTACGCTGCCATTCATTTTTTTTAAAATAAAATACCTGAAAACCATAGTTAGGGTATTGACCCTCTGTTATATAGTAACAGCTTTTCAAAACAAAGAGGATAATTTTTTCAACTACCCAATGAAAAAATTTTTCTATAATCAACTTTGAGTCCTTAGGACGAAGCATTTTAGTCCACCTGAAACAAAAGAAAAGAAAGAATTAATAATCATTATGTAAAGTAGACCCTTGCCATTTGCGAGTTTGTGATTCGCGGTAAGCAGATGGTCGCTCTGGTAGCTAGCTTGCAAGCCCTTTCCCGCAGCAAGAGTCACCCCACACAGCATCTCGTGTTGTACTCTCAAAGCTTTAATGTTTCTGTGTGAAATGGACCCTAAAAGACTGCCTAGTGTCAGTGCTAGTATTGCTAGTGAAGTGAAATGTAAAAGGCAGAAGTCAGTGATGACCCTGACAAAGTTTTATTATTAGGTAAGTTAAAAGAGCAGATGCGTGCTGCCGCAGCTGGTCAGTTGTTTGATATACTGTAGGTATACAGTAGTGCACTTAGTATAAGTTGCTATTCACAGTTTTGCCAATTCACGCCATTTCTTGGAACCTATCCCTCGCGAATGGCAAGGGTCTACAGTACTGGACAATTATATCTTTAAAAAAAGCTTTATTGGACAGCAATTGCTCACGGGACTGGGATATTTATGTAGCAGAACCTCGATAAATCTGACTCATTGGGGCAGACCGCCAGTCCAAAAAATTTGAAAGTTCTAAAAATGTTGCACTTCAACAATTAAGGTCTTCAAGTGTATCACAAGGTTATTAAAACTGTTACATCAATAATAATAAAAAATGAAACAGAACTCTCTGGGTTGAAAATCAGACATAAGACTGGTTGTAAACTGTTTTCACTGAGATGATTGTTATTTACTGTAAAGTATTACAGTATATGTAAAGTTATATGTAAGTAACCACAGAATTTGTCTTATGAATAAAGAGAAAACTTTATATTGTACAGTATTATAAAGATAAAATAGGAATAAATAAGTACTGTATGTGAAAAATGAGTGTATATCTGCAAGCACCAGGCAGAGGGGGGTAGCTCGTTGGGTGACTCCCTTCCCTTCCCTTCTCTCCCCGATTCCTTTAACACATCTTTATGAAATTTCACCATAATCCATTTGGTGCCAGATTGATAAATACTGTATAGTACTGTATTATCTTATGAGAATCAACTTTCCCCAAAAAGGAATCCCACACTCAACTTGAGTCATTTGTTTACAAAGGGCAACTAGCTGATCGGATTAGCTCCTTCACCACTCATACTTACCACAATGTCTGTCTTCAACACTTAGTAAATTAGTACAGTATTGTAGTGTATTTATCATCACTTAATAAGTAATACTGAAGTGTACAGTATTATGCATTTGCATATACCCAGGTTTATTCAATAATCAGTTAAGTGCACAAATAGCCAAACTGAGCCATCATTTATCACTCAAAGGTAGCAAATAATGCTGCTAGGAAAGTATCCCCATATCATATAAAATACAGTGTGTTATAGTGACCCCTGTTGTACGCTAATATGCTGAAAGCTTTCACACAATTGCATTCTGTATGACTACCTTCTAATACAGCCCCCCCCCCCCAAAATTCGCGGTCCTCTATTATTCGCAGATGACACCCTGGATGTACCCAAAAATGTCTGTGGATGATTTTAAAGTTGCCGGCATTTTCGCGGCCAGGAAGGGGAGTGCACAAGTGGGGATAAGGTTATACTACAGTGCATTTCAACTTAGTGACAGTGCAAAAAGGTAAGATTGGCTGGGAGTGAATACATACACTGGTTGATAATTTTAATAATGGTTGGGACTGGGCTGCTCTTATAGCATGTGTGTGTGTGTGTGTGAGCAACAACAAGAGCGCAAGACCTGACGGCATTCCTGCTGAAATTTACAGACATGGCGGTCCCCATCTGACTGAGTGCCTCCATAGCCCCTTACTCACCATATAGGCCACAAAGATCATCCCCCAGGATTGGAAAGATGCAAATATCAAAACAATTTATAAGAATAAAGGTGACAAATCAATCTGTGGGAACAGCAGGGATATCTCCTTCCTTGTAGTTGCTGGCAAGATCTTGTCAAGTCATGCTATCAAGAGTTATCCAACACCTAAAGGAGAAAAATCTTCCTGAATCCCAATGTGGATTCAGGAAGGATCGTAGTACAATAAACATGATCTTCGCAGCTTGGCAAATTCAAGAAAAGAGTCGAGAGCAAAATGTAGACCTTTACACCACCTTCATTGACCTCTCCAAAGCTTTCGACACAGTAAACAGAGAACTTTTGTGGACTATGTTGGAGAGGGTCGGTGTACCACCGAGATTTTTAAACATCCTCCGCCAGATTCATGATTGATTGCAAGCCCGGGTACTTGTGGGTGGTGTGCAGTCAGAACCATTTAGTGTTCAAATGGGTGTAAAACAGGGCTGTGTGCTGACACCTGTATTGTTTAACATCTTTTTGCTGGCTGTAGCACAACTCTCACACAATGCCCTTGGGCCTGATGCAGGTATGGGCATACGGTACCGTCTTGACAGTAGCCTTTTTAATATTAGACATCTGGAAGCCTACACAAAGACCTTAACAACTCAGGTCATAGAACTACAGTATGCAGATGACTGTGCAATAATGACACCTAACAGAGAATCTATGCAATGTGCACTGGACGTGATCTCAGGTATTTACAGCTCGCTTGGTTTGCAAATTAATACCCAGAAGACTGAAATTTTTGTCCAGCCCAATGTTCCACCAATAGAGGCACACAATTACACATTAATGGAGATCTTAACAAAATAGTAAACCAGTTTAGGTACTGGTAGCACTCTCACACCCACCTGCTCACTGGATATGGAAATTCAAACCAGAATCTTTCTAAACAATGACCTCAAATACGGAACGAAGACTGCAGTTTATCTAGCGGTCTGTACAGATATATCTACATTATTATATGCCTCAGAAACCTGGACACCCTAAAGACACCATATCCAAATGCTGGAAAACTTCCACACTAGCTGCCTTAAGCATATCTTTGGAATATCCTGGGAAGATAAGAGTGACCCATGAAGAATTACATCGTCGCTCAAACACGACCAGCATTGAAACCATGCTAACCAAAAGACACTTGCGCTGGCTTGGACAAGTTATTGGAATGCCAGACCACCAGCTTCCAAGACAAATATTATATGGCAAGCTCTTACAAGGAAACCGCTCGGCGGCAGGACAGAAAAAAAAAAAAGAAGAGATATTTGGACCACTCTAAAACTCTGCTCAAGTGCTGTAATATCCAACCAAATTCACCAGAGCAACTAGCCTTAGACCATTCCTTATGGTGCTCAACATACCATAGAGGAGCGGAAACAAACCAAAAGAGAGCTAATAAACGAGCCCAACGACATCAGAGGGCTCAAAGCATAATTCCTCTCAATGAACAACATCCCTGTCACCTATGCAACAAGAACTGCACACCAGGATTGGACTTTATAGTCATCTACGGTGGCATCACAGGAATAACACATAACTCATCAATCATCACATCTGGAGCAACGTCGTCATCGACTTCGATTGACTGCCATAAGCAAGCAAGCAGAGTATGTGTGTGTGAGCGTGGCATGGCTTGGGTCACCGCGTTGGTACAGCACCCCGCAGTAGAGTGCTTAGTTGGTGTTTGGCTGTCATTGTATCCGCAACTGATCGCGCTGGGTACTGACATTATTTTCGTATTTAATTGACTTAAGAATGACTGGAAAATGTAGAGGTGACAGTGCTAGTAGTGCTCAGAAGAAAAGGAGACAGTCAATTACTATTGAGATGAAAATGAAGATGATAATGCAGCATGAAAATGGAAAAACTGTAGCAACAATTTCACGTGACCTAGGCTTCTCGCACTCGACCATATCCACTATTCTGAAAGACAAGGAACGTATTCGTGAAGTAGTGAAAGGATCGGCACCTATAAAGCCAACTATAATAACGAAGAAAAGACAAGGTCCCATTCACGAGATGGAAAATTATTGGTGATATGGATGGAAGACCAGATACAGAAGCATGTACCCTTAAACCTTCTAACCTTACAGGCTAAGGCAAGAAGCCTGTTCGAAAGCCTGAACGAGCAGGCAGATGAGTGTGAGCAAACCTTCATAGCAAGTCATGGGTGGTTTAACAGATTTAAGAACCACTACAGTTTACATAATGTTTAGGCGAGTGGAGAGGCAGCTAGTGCTGATGTTGTTGCTGCCAAAGATTTTAAGGAGGAGCTAGATCATGTGACCGTGGAAGGAAATTATTTCCCTGAGCAAATATTCAATGTGGATGAAACTGGATTATTGTGGAAGTGCATGCCTGAACAGACATACATCCACAGAGGCGAAAGCAATGCCAGGATTCAAGGCATTCAAGGACCGAATTATACTTCTGTGTGTGTGTGTGTGTGTGTGTGTGTGTGTGTGTGTGTGTGTGTGTGTGGAGGGGGGTAGCTTTCAAGATAAAGCCCTTCGTGATTTATCATTTAGAGAACCCCAGGGCTTTTAAACATGTCAGCAAGAACACACTGCCAGTGTTTTATCACAGTAACAAGAAGGCCTGGATGACCCTAGTATTGTTTGAGGATCGGTTCATGAATTGTTTCTTTCCTCGTGCCAAGGAGTATTGTCTACAACAAGGGATTGCATTCAAGATTTTGCTAATTTTGGATAATGCTCCGGGACACCCACCACACCTGAACGACATGCACCCTGCTGTTAAGGTAGTCTACATTCCACCTAACACTACTTCTGTCATCCAACCCATGGATCAAGGTGCCATCGCAGCTTTTAAAGCTAATTATTTACGTACGACCTTCGCTCAGTCTGTTGCTGCTACTGAAGGTGAGAAAATGCTCAGACAGTTTTGGAAGGACTACAACATTTTAACATGTATAAAGAATATTATTGCAGCATGGGAAGAGGTTACACAACAGTGCATGAATGGAATATGGAAGAAAGTACTGTAAATATATGTGAACAGTTTCAGAGGATTTAATGAAAATGAAGTAATTTCTGAGATTAGTAACAAGATAGTGGAGTTGGCTAAACAGCTTGAGTTAGAAATTGATAATGAAGATGCTGAACAGTTGGTTGAAAGTGTAGCA